CATCCAACTCACCTGTAGCAGAGGGCAGTCCTTCAGATTTTATGTGGTCCTGCTTGAAACACATAGAAGGCCTCAGGGAGCAAGGGAAGTTCAGAGCGGCTCTGTGGCTCCTAAGGTCTTTGTTGACCCAGGAGATATAAACTAGATGCAGGAATTGTTTGGTCAATTTATTGGTTGCCCAACATCTCTGCCAGGAAATGTTTGACCATTGACCAAATCTGGTATCTTTAAAAAAAAAAATAATCCCTCATTTACTGAGAAGATAGGTCATATGCATCTCTGATTTAATTAAAGAACAGAATTTTAAAGTAAGTGAAAACAAGATATTAAAGATGGAAGTCATGATGAACATTTATATGGTATTTTATGCTTCTTTATGGTTGGGAGGTGAGGGCCAGACATTATTCCCATTTCATGAAGTGAGATTAAGCAAGTCGCCTAAGAAAGGCAGAACTGAGGCTCACACCCTGGCCTCCTCCAGACTCCAGACCCTGTGACCTTCCTGCGAAGCCAGGAATCTCTGTGTAATGGTGAACGCTGAGTCTTCTGAGACACAAAATGAAGGGAAATCGCCGTGATTATTTAATGACATTTATCCTCTGAGTCAAGTAGCACAAAGTTCAGCGACTTCCTTACACAACACAATACTTAAACTAATACTTAATTCCACTCTGTCATCACTCTCTGAGCACTTAGGAACACCATGTTTTTTAACTTCTGGGCCAGATGCCAGGGGTACAGCAAAATGGTCCACAGCATAGACACTGGCATCGACCTCCTACCTGGCTCCAGTCTTGGCTCCTGCTGGTGGCGCTTCATGCAGTCTGGCTGAATTGCACATGTCTAGCAGAGTAAGTGATCAATAAAGTCAACTATTATTGCCAGCAAATAATTTGATAAGGCATTAAGCAGTGACTCCGAACATAAAAGCAAGCTGCTTAGTGAAGGTTTTCTGTTCCACTAAAATCAGCCGAACTTTGCAGTCCAGGAACTTACTAATGAGTTGTGACCAGTGTTCTGCCATTTTGTCTTCTAAGTTGCTAAATATGAAAAACTAAAATAGAATAAGCAATAAATATTGGTGCTCTCTATCAGATCTTCAAGGGCGATGGTCTCACCCATGACCCTGTGTCCTTCTCTTCCTTTGTTGTCCATTGACACTTTTTGGACCAGACCTTCTTTATAAAGCAGGCTATTCTCATTCTCAATTCATTCTTTATCTTGGTGGCTTGCAATTTTCTGATTGTTGTTTAAATAGCTGATATGCCTAAGTTTCAAACTGACATTGTCCTATCCTCTTCTAAAATACCTTTTTTTTACTGAGTTATAATTAACATATAGTATTACTTTTGGGTGTACAGCATAGTGATTCGATATTTTTTGCACATTTTGGAATGATCACCATGATAAGTTCAGAGAGCATCTGCTGTTGCAATATTATTGACTGTGTTCACTATGTGACATTCTGTCCCTATTGTTTTATAGCTGGAAATTTGTCCTTTTAATCTCTTTCCCCTGTTTCACCCACCCCCTGACCCCCTTCCCTCTGGCGACCTGCAGTTTGTTCTCTGTCTCTATGAGTCTGGTTCTGTCTTGTTTTGTTTTGTTTTTAGATTCCATGCATAAGTGAAATCGTGCTGTAGTTGTCCCTCTGTGTCTGCCTTATTTCACTTAGCATAATACCTTCTAGGTCCATCCATGTTGTGGTAAGTGGCAAGATTTCATGGGATATCCCGATTAACTCATGCTTGCATGTATATTATATCAGAAGCATTTCCTGAGGATTCTTTATGAGACGGGCTATGCACTGTGCTGTAAAGGAGTTATGAGAAAGACACGGTTCTTTTTTTCACAAAAATTAACAACCCAGCAAGGTGGACAGTGGTGTGGGGAAGTGGGTGCACATCATACATGACTAACTGAAGCACAGCCTGAAACTTTACCATTTCTAGAAACAAAGTATCCTATGAGCACAGAAGAAAAGAGTGGGGTTTTTTTGTTCTTGTTTTTGTTTTCTTTACAGGAAGATGTCTTTAGATGACTTGATAAGGAAATGACACACTGGGTCTCGAAAGTTGAAATGAAAGTATTCTTTGGTAGAAATAGAGGCCAATAGAAACCACCATGAGAAAAAATCACGGAAGTGTCAAAGTTCATGGGAAAATTTAGGTAGCAGGAGGTGACAGGAGAGAGACAAGGAGCCAGTTTGTGAGAGGCAGTAAAGCCGGTTCCAGGAAACAACCATGAGAGGTATTTCAGGATGTACGTATTTCCCTAGACCGAATACAGATTTCAGATAGATTTTGAGTTGGTGGGAGAAGTTCTCATTTTCTCTCTCTCTTTCTCAGAGTAAAGTTAAATGAAGGTCCTTAATCAGCCATACAAAATTGTATCAGAAGCAAATGGCAGCCCCGGGCAGAGCAGATGCTTTGGTTCTCAGCGTGGGCGTCTCGGATCCTGCGTTGGGGTGGGGTCGGGAGCCACAACTGTCCGCTCTTTGTCCTGCAGTTGTGGCTGTGCCACCTCTTAGAGCTGGGGTGGACAGCCTATCTCTACAAAAAATTAAAAGGGATCAGTTTCTTATGGGGTCACTTACTCACAGGATGGGATTGGGTGGACAGTGATCTGGAAGCATTCACAGTGGCAGTGGCCACGGGGACCATTTGATAGCTAGCCTAGGTGTGGGGGGTTTGTGCTTGGACATAGGGCGTGTATTCCTAAACCAACATTTATGAGTGGTCTTGTGGGCACCAGGCATATGCCAGGAAAGGTCTTCAGCAAGACGGCATCAGTGATGCTCACAGCCGTACAGGAGATGTCAAAGGACTAACCCTTTTGAAATCTCAGTGGCCACATCTGGGAAGTTAAGTTCCCCATGGCTAGGAGGCTGATAGACTAAAAGGAGGCAGGTGTAAAGCACCTGGGCTGGAGACTGGCACACAGTGAGTGCTAAAATGTAGTAGCAAGTACTTTCAGTCTTTAGATAATTCCTCATGTTCCTTCTTCGCCCTGTTTTACTCGCTTCTCTAACCAGTTTTGTGATTTGGATAATAGACAAATATGACATCAGCCTCTGAAACAGGGTAAATACAAGACAGAATGTGTGAGCCAAGAGCGAATTTCGTTTCTGATCTGAGCTTGAATCCTCTGTCAGTAGGCACCTGGATTTACCATTCTTGTATTGCAGGAGAAAATTCACTGGGTAATACGTAGCTGAGTTTGGAAGTTAAACACAGCAAACCCTTTTGAGGCTGAAGACTGACCCTGGAGGGCCCAACATCCCGGGATCAGCGGAGGGACAGGTGCTGCAGAGGAGATGGGGAAGAAAACCAGGAGAGTGGGCAGCACAGAAGTCAGGGAGAGGGGTCGTCTCGGGAAGGAGGGAGTCCGCTGGGTCCGATGCTGCAGGGGGCCAGGTCAGACAGAGAAGGGAACAGGGGGACTTGCAGAGAGGGCGGGAGGGACCATTAGCGCTCAGATACAGAGCACTTACTGGATGTTGAAGACTGTGCCAGCTGACCACGTGCAGTGCTGCTTTAATTCTCGGAAACTCTCCCCCCATTGTATAGATTAGGACAGTGAGGGCTGGAAACATCTAGCACCAGCTTAGCTTAGGTCACAGAGCTGGGACAGGACAGCGGGACTCAGACCCCTGCCATCTGACTCTCAACCACTGAGCCTCCTTCCTTCCGGAAGACTGGCTTTTGCCCACGTGGTGGGTGAGGAGGGAGCCCCGAGGGTTGAGAGGGAGCCAGGAGTGAGGGGAGGGGTTGGTTGTCCTGGTTGGTTGGTTTGCTGGCTTTAGGATGGCAGAGAGGTCAGCGCTGTCAAACGCCCACAGGGGGCTGCGGAGGGGATGGAGCCGGCAGCGCGCAGGCGCGGGCGGTGGGGCGAGCCCTTAGGAAGGAGGGCCCCTCGTCCTTCATCACGGGACGGGCAGAAGGAATTGACGGTGTCAGGTTAACGTGGGAACATTGGGGAAGTTCCAGCTTACCCTTCAGGGTTCCAGCTTGCGCACGCCCGAGCCCGCAGGATTACTTGCTCTGGGCGTCCAGGGAGCACCGGCATGCGTCCTCCCTGCAGGCTCTGCCGGGGGTCCTCCAGCAGGACCGGCCCCGCCTGCTGGCTGTGACTTCCTGCTCCGTACGCACGAGTACATTCAGCTTGCATCTGAGACACGGTGCCACCCTGCAGGGGAAGGGACTGAGCTAAGCACACGAATGATTGTCATCAAAGCCATATGGGGAAGAACCACTGTAAGAGACGAACGCAGGTGCTCCGGACTTGAGTCGTGCGATAGGGAGGGGCCGGGAGAGAAAACAGCGCTGGGTGAGTGACGTGTGCACTGAGTGTGTTGTGAGCTGGCTCTTCAAGGGTGGGCATATTTTCAGCTGATAAGGAAGAAGCCATTTTACTTGGATAAATTAGCGTCAGAAATGACACAAGTCTTACTTGGGGAACGTGGGGCGGTGCGGTCTGGCTAAAGAATGGAATATGCTGGAATTTAGGTCCGTGATGCAATGGAAGGGCCTTCAGCCCTAGACTAAGAAATCCTGCTCAGTTGAGCCCCTTAACTCCTACAAATCCGAGGATCGCTAATGTTGTGGAAGAGCTCAAAAACGGCTGTAAGCAGTCCTTGGCCTTAGCCAAATTGTTGATGATAAGAGTTTAGAAATCACACCTGCCATTTCATTCCAGAAATTAGGACACGATCCTGAGAGTTTCAGGACGCCAGTATCACCCAGTCTCCCAAGAACACCTTTGAGCACATGAGCAAGGGTTCAGGCCATCCCCCTGGGCCTTGCCAGTAACTGACTGGGTCTCACTGTGGGGGGGGTGAGCCGTGGGGGGGGGGGTGAACCAGGAATGCGTTTGCTCCTGCCGTTATGGGCTCAGGACCAATGCTAGGTTTCTTCCTACTTTTGTAAATCACTATTCTTAATAACTGTTTACAAATGAAGAAGTGAAATAAAAATTTAAAATCCCCTTTTTTCTTTCAGCTAAGAAAAAGAAGCCTAAACTATTGAATAAATTTGATAAGACTATTAAAGCTGAACTCGATGCTGCAGAAAAACTCCGTAAAAGGGTAGGTTGATGTTCTGTTTCTCACAGAAATGTGCCGTGGTTTCATCATTAAATAAACTCAGGCTTTACTCTTGATTTGTTTCTAAAAAACGCTGTAAGAGAACCTTTAAATGGAGGCGCATCAGCATTCTCTGTGGATTGAATCAAATGAAAAGAAAAACTGCAGCTGAAATGGTCAAACAGAAATAGAACTTTACCTGGAGTCCAGCCGATCTGGGAGCCTGCCCGCTTCCATCTCAGTCTAGCTGTTTGGCTTTGGGCAGATCACTTGGTCATTCTGAGCCTCTGTTTCCTTATTTTAAGAAATGAGAATCATAGCTACTCTTTGTACTCCCTACTTGGTTTTTGTAAAGATCAAATGAGATTTTAAAAACGAAAAGCATTAGTTCTGTCGCGTACCATATAAGTAGGGGTTGTGATTTTAAAGTATCTCGATGCAAAATGAAAAAAATTTGGTTAGTCCAATACGCTTAACGGTAGTTGCTGTGAAGTGAAATGATGTTAGTTTTAAAATTCTTCTCACTTGGAGTTAACCTCATGCACCTCCAGTTTCCTGGGTGCTTGTTTTATGTCTTGCTTCGTCGTCAGTTAATTTGAAATATTGTTTACATTTGTTTGTGAATGTTACAGTTTTTGAGGATAGTGAATTAACACTAGATTGAAGTTATCTGTTCTCTTAATTCGGTCGTGTTCATCTAATCATTGGGCCAAATATTTATTATAATATATTTAATAACATCTTCACTCCATCACCTACAGGCACACCTCATTGTACTGTGCTCCACTTTACTGTGGATATCATGTTTTTCACGAATTGAAAGTTTGTGGCAGCCTTGTATCAGACAAGTCTCTTGGCACCATTATTCTAACAGCATTTGCTCACTTTGTGTCTCTGTGTCACATTTTGATAATTCTCACGATATTTCAAACCTTTCACCAGCAAAAAGATTATGACTCACTGAAGGCTCAGATGATGATTAGCATTTTTTAGCAGTAAAGTATTTTTTGTTAAAGTATAGTTATTTTACAGTGTTGTGTCAATTTCTGGTGTACAGCACAATGTTTCAGTCACACATGTATATACATATGTTCCTTTTCATATTCTGTTTCATTATAGGTTACTACAAGATATTGAATATAGTTCCCTGTGCTATACAGTGTAAACTTGTTTGTATTTTATATATAGTAGTTAGTATCGGCAAATCTTGAATTCCTAATTTATCCCTTCCCACCCTGAAGTATTTTTAGTTAAGGTGCGTGCATTGTGTTTTTTAGACATAAAGCTGCTGCAGCCTTTATAGACTGCAGTATGTGTAAACCTAACTTTTCTATGCACTGGAAACCAAAACGTTCAGGTGACTCGCTTTATCAAGTATTCGCTTTTTGTGATGGTCTGGAACCAAGCCCGCGAGATCACCATGGTCTGCCCGCACTTGTTTATGAAAATTTCTTTCTCTACTCTTTACTTGAATTTATACTCAGTGTAATATTCATTAGTTTTCCTGTAATGTGGTTATTAAGCAGTAGACATTGGCTGCAAAAAAAAAAAAAGGAAAAAGGAAACTCATCAATAAGCAACAACAATAAAAATACCCAAGTTAGGCACCAAAGCACAAGAATGTGCTTCCCACACATTTGTTGGCAATGTCCCGACAAGCATGGAGACGTCTGTAACTGGCGTTAGGCAAGGTTCCCAGACCAAGGCCTGGCTTACCCTCTAAAGCAGCCGATACAAATGCAGTGACTTCAAAGAATATTGTAGCAAAGTCGCTATTCACTAAATTAACATCAAAAGATTTCTGTATCTGTCTTGTTTAACTTTATAAAATGGAGCCATCTTCTATCTGTTGAAAATTTACATTTCTTAATAGAAGTGGAGCAGGCATCTTCTTCTGTCACCTTGTGGGGCATTCTCCACTGTCCCTGTGCTACACCCCATTGACAAAAATGTGGGGTGCCTATTTCACAGGTGACTTTGGGGATAAAGAACAAACTAACAGCTTTTGAGAAGGATGTTTATGTAATTTTTTAAATTGAAGTATAGTTGATTTACAGTGTTGGGTTAATTTCCAGTGTACAGCATCGTGATTTAGTTATATATGTGTATATCTTTTTCATATTCTTTTTCATCATAAGTTGTTACAAGGTATTGAATGTAGTTCCCTGTGCTCTACTGTAGGACCTGGTTTATCTGTTTTATGTATAGTAGTTTGTATCTGCTAATCCCAAAGCCCTAATTATAATGAATGGTAAAGAAGGGCTCAGTTATCAAAGGGTAAATAAGTCATTGAAACATAAAAGTGCTGGAACAACGCATGGAGTCTTCTCCAGTTCCTGCTTGTTTGGAGAAGTGATGATGCTTTTCTCAAGGAGCACCGTGGATTTGGTAACATTGGTAGCAGAGTAAACAAAGGAGGAAGGAAGGGGCCACAGAGGCCATTCTAGCTTCTGAAACCACAGGGAGCCATGTTATTGACTGAACCGTCAGCATAATTAAGTTTTTTAGGGTTGTCTTCATAGCCGGTATTTTCAAATAATGCCACCACCCACTACACTGGAAGAGCTGTGGTCCTAAGCACGCCCTGGTCAGAGGAGGCCCATCTCGGGTCACATCCTAGCTTCAGATGCTCTGCACCGTGGAAGTATGAGGTCACTTTATTTTTCCTCCAAAAATGTAGAGCTATGTTTCCATCATCTATTTTTTAACGATAATACTTATTGTTTAAAACTCCTCCTTACACTCTAGAAAAGGGATTTGAAATGATATACCGAGATATTTGGCATCACTTGTTGGAATCACTTATCATTATTGTATGTACGTGGGGGGAAAAGAGAAAGAGGGGGAAACGTAATCAAGCCGCAGTAAGGTTGACACACGCAAGTTCACACCACAGGCTCTGAATAGGGCTGGGATACAGTAAACTGTAGTCAGAACAAGGGGCGTAACATCACACTCTAAGATGAATTGTGTTCCCCAGAATAGCTGTTCTGCACCAGGTCCAGAAAGAAGCGTTCTGCTGTTGGTCTTCATAAAGGGGACGCTGATGGATGACACAGGCCCCTCCCTAACGTCACACCAGTGGATTCTGCATTGTCCCTGCGGGAGTGAGTCTTAATGTCCTTCAACGCAGCCCACTGGCCTCATGCCAAAACAGGGGGAGCCAAAGCACATGTCTCTCCAGTGAACTGTCTTGGTCCTAGGGTAAAAGATGAGCTGTGTTAAAAAACGGGTGACTTGCAGGCCATTCTTCACAAGCATTCTATCTTATAGCTGAAATGTTTTAATAAAAATTGTATGATGGTGTCAGGAGCTGTATTCTGTGTAAGAAGCTGGGGAAGGGAAATTCTTTCAGAATAAAAGCAAACATATTTACTTTACCAGGTGAGAGCTGGGCTGATGGTCCCTTAGGAAGAGCACGTAGCCTCTGTGTTAAGGGATCCAGAGGACGCCTAGGACAGAGCCGAAATATTCCATTATTTTTATAAGCTTAATGGCCAATTAAAGGAGTGGTAAGCTGGGACAAAATACTGTAGCAACTTTGTTATGAATATTGTTGTTTCTACATTTAAAATCTGGAAATGGTGCATTCAGCATGATTTTCACAAAAATAGCTTCAACATTTGCAATTTAAGTTGCATAAGACATGTAGTAGGCTGAAAATAATCCCCCAAAAGACATCCATGTCCCAGTCCCTGGAACCTGTAAATATTACTGTATTTGGAGAAAGATTTTTTGCAGGCATGATTAAGTTAAGGATCTTAAGGTGGGGCCGATTATCCTGGGTTAGCCCGTTGGGTTCTAAATTCAGTCACATGTTTCCATATAAGAGAGAGGCAGAGGGAAATTTCATACAGACAAAATAGGAGAAGGTACACACAGAGAGGAGAAAGTAATGTGAAGACAGGACCAGATTCTCCCCTAGAACCTCTGGAGGAAGAATGGTCCTGTCGATGTCTTGATTCCACCTCCATCGAAACTGGTTTTGGACTTCTGTTCTCCAGAACTGGGAGGAAATAAATTTCTGTTGTTTTAAGCCACCAAGTGTGTGAATTATCCAGCAGCCACAGGAAACTAATACAGGGTAGTGAAAAGAAAGTTACAAAGAAAAAGATATTTAACATGAATCCTTTATCTCTTGAAACCATTTGTGGAAGAAATGAAGTAGTGGTTTTTCAAACTGTTATCCAAAATATACAAACAGCTCTTAAAATTCAACAATAAGAAAACAAACAACCCAATTTAAAAAATGGGCCAAAGACCTTTAAAGACACCTCACCAAAGAGCTTCAAATGGCAGATAAGCCTATGGACGATGAGCTTGCATTTGCAGGTGGAATTTATGGATTTACCAATTTATGGGCAGCTGGTAAGGTTCAACTCAGAAAATCTGTCTCTGTCTGATGGCTCCAGTGTCCTAACATCCATTAGAAGCCAGGAGACATTTGTTTCGCCCTGTGGAATGGCCCTGGATGGACAAAGGTGGGGAGAGAGTTCCCCACCGCCATGCCGAGACCCACCGGGTTTACCTGTTGCACATCCTTCGTTTCCTTTCTTGCAGTGGTGACCAGAGACCTCTCAGAGGTGCTTGGGCTTTGGGAGGGGTCACATGACACAGGCAGTGTGGCGCTCCAGCAACCAGCTGAGCCAAATCAACCCTGATGTCCAGCAAGTGACAGGTTCTGTAAGCAAGTGGTCCTCTCATCCTCAGTGCTCATTTTTCACCGTTTTAACAGATGCTTCAGATTTCTCATCTCAGACCTCAAAACACTAACTGCCAGCAGCATCCCCCCCCAAGTTAAATCCTACATGTATATAAATATATATATATATTTAAGAATGCATGTAGCAACTGTACTTATAGAGCGAAAACACAATTTCTTTAACAAAGACTCATATTACGTCATTTGCCAGGCATCTGTCTTTTAAAAAAATGAAGTGTATTTATATTCATTTCTAGTTTTGTTTGCCATTATACAGTTAATTATTTAAAATCTTAAGATAAAAATTATCTTATACTCAGAATGGAGTCCAGGGAATTTTGACAAAATTACTTGGTGAATATTAAATAACTGTATTGAACAACATTATGCATTTGAATTTATGGTTTTTATTGTTAATTGCCTTTTCCGAACAGGAAAAAATTGAGGAAGCGCTGAATGCATTTGAAGAACTTGTTCGCAGGTACCCTCAGAGTCCAGGGGCGCGATATGGGAAGGCACAGGTATGTTGAAACCAGGCTGCTAAGACACTGTTTTGATGTCCTTGTGTTCTGTGTAATTGGATTTTCTCCACCCAGTATTTGCATTTTTGTTTTCCCTTCTAACTTGCATACAGAGTCAGTTTCTCATGCATATGCATAAATTCAAGCAAGAAATACTGTTTTGAATAAGACAATTAATTACTGCTATTGTGTACTGATGAATTAGGTGCCATTTTTTTGCTCACCCTCCATATGGATTCTCTGTGGATTTGAGAAGAAGAGAATGAATAACACTTTTGTCACTGATTTCCCATCACTTTCATGTTTATTCCATTTAGAGCCACCACATAGTGTTCACTTCAGGCTTCTCAGAGCTTTAAGAACCTCATTTTATCACTGGAGGTTGCAAACTGTGCTTGGGGAAGACTTTTAAAATAGAGTGAAATGTACTTTGGCCCCTGGGTAGCTTCTGTCAGCCGACATTTCTTACCACCTACCTTATCCCCGTCTCCCACCCCCACCTGCTCCTTCCGTATCAGACTTTCTCCATCTTCCAGGCCCTCAGTTCAGGAAGTTTTGACACATCCATCTATAGCCTCAGAAACCCTCTGTGGGCCACACACTATTTTAGGCCCTGGGATTATCATAAAAAACACCCTCACGGTCTCTGTCCTGGTGGATCTTATATTCCAATGGGAGATACTTTTTTAATTGAAGTAGAGTTGATTTACAATGTTGTGTTAGTTTCTGGTGTACAGCATACTTATTCAGTAACACACACACACATGTATTCTTTTTCATATTCTTTTCCGTTATAGGTTATTACAAGAAGTTGAATGTAGTTCCCAACGCTAAGTAGGACCTTGTTTATCTGTTGTATATATGGTAGTTTGTATCTGCTAATCCCAAACTCCTAGTTTATTCCTTCTCCACCCTTCCCCCTTTGGTAACCATAAGTTTGTGTTCTATGTTTGTAAGTCTGTTTCTGTTTTATAAATAAGTTCATTTGTGTCATTTATTTTTAGATTCTGCATATAAGTGAGATGATACTTGTCTTACTTCACTTAGTACAGTAATCTCTGTGTCCATCCATATTGCTGCAAATGGCATTATTTCATTCTTTTTTATGACTGAGTAATATTCCATTATATATATATATATATATATATATAATTTCTCATCTTCTTTATCCAATCATCTGTCAATGGACATTTAGGTTGCTTCCATATCTTGGCTCTGTAAATAGTGCTGCTGTGAACATTGG